AAAAAAAAAAAAAAAAAAAGAATATTAAACCATTAAGCTCATCCTAGCGTTTGGCTTTCCAAACAGAGTCTCACCCTGGATAGAGTGCCATGCATCATAGCTCACAGCAATCTCAAACTCCTGGGCTCAAGTGATCCTCTTGCCTCAGCCTCCTGAGCAGCTAGGACTACAGGCGCCCACCATGACTCCTGGCTACTTTTTCTATTTTTAGTAGAGATGCAGTCTTGCTCTTGCTCAGGCTTATCTGGAACTCTTGAGCTCACACAAATCCACTCCTCAGCCTCCCAGAGTGCTAGGATTATAATTATGCGCCACTGTGCCCACCTGTCCTGGCATTTCTTACTCTCACAGGTGGGAAGAAAAATGACACAGACAGTTAAAAGGGCCATATAATCCAGGGAGTCACCAAATTTAAACTAGACTAATTAGTTACTTACTACCGTACTCGTGGACCATCCTGGGCATCACTCATTGCTACATCTCCATCATCTTCCTCAAGGCGGGAAGACCGAATACTGGAACCACCTCTTCCAGATCGACGGTTCCCCTCACCATATTTCCACCGGAAAGGACCCCAGCCTTTTTTCCTTCTTTGAGGGAAACTAACACGGTCATCATGCTCTGGAGTTGGAGACAGGAACACAAATTTGAAAAGGTTACTGGGTCCAGGTACCTTGGTGTGGCAATTTCTAGCACCCTGTACTAGAAGATACACACTAACTGCAGAGTCCAACTCCTCTGCCCAGAGAAAGGAGCCCTTTTGTGGGATGGCAGCATCAGGGAAGAGTTATTGGAAAACTGTAGATTTTTGAAAAATGAAGCTGAAACTGGAACTATGAAGAGAGGCAGAATGTAGAAAGGTGAGACCCCAAAGTGTAAATGGCCACAAATTAGAGCTCTGCAAGCCACCCCAAATTTGGCCCAGGACTTCATTTGTCCATATAGTACTAATGCCAGTTGTAAATATGAACAACCTAAAGGGCCTCTGCCCCCAAATCTCCTTGTTCTCAAATTGCCACTCTAAAATTTTTGATGAGCTTTTAACTTCCTTGGCTAGAAATGCCCTTTAACTCTGGAAACAAGTTTTAGACTTATGCTTTACTAGCAGCTCCAAGGTAGAGTGCTTAACCATAAGCCCCAGATTGCTGTCCTAAGAATATGACCTTCTGACTCCTGTTATGTAGGAATAGCTTCTTTAAAAAGGTCCATAAGGCTCGGCGCCTGTGGCTCAAGTGGCTAAGGTGCCAGCCACGTACACCCAAGGTGGCGGGTTCAAATCCAGCCCGGGCCACCAAACAACAATGATGGCTGCAACCAAAAAAAAAAAAAATAGCCAGG